AACTACTTCACAGTTAGGGCGGCTAGGAGCTGGAACCAACTTCCAAGGGAAGTGGTGCTGGCCCCTACCCTGGGGGTCTTTAAGAAGAGGCTGGATGCCTACCTGGCTGGACTCATTTGAGTCCCGTTTCTTGTTTTGGGGTTTTGTTGTTCTCCGGCCCCAGCGGGGGGTCGGGCTAGAAGATCTACTAGGTCCCTTCCGACCCTAAATCTATGAAACTATGAAACTGTCGCCAGGGCTCTTTGTTTGTGTCATTGAGCCTCTGGCGTAGCGGATCAGGGGGGACAGGGTGATCAGTGGGATTAGGGTGCCGAGGGGAGGGGACATAAAAATCCTCTTATACATGGATGACGTGACGTGCGTAATGAGGGATGCAGTGTCCCTGGAGAGGGTGATGAAGCACACAAATGAGTTTGGGGAGTTATCTGGACAAGGGTGAATGGGGAGAAGAGTGTTTTCTTGGCGATAGGAAATTGGGGGGATTTGGGGAAATTCGGATTGCGGGTGGAGAGGGAGGAACTTAAGGTACTGGGCGTATGGATGGATATCCAGGGGAAAGGGCGTGAGAGGTACTGGAGGGGAGGGTGAAGCAGACGGTTGGGTTGTGGGCAACACAGGGCTTATCATCTAGGGGGGAAGGTGAAGGTTATCAAACAGTGCCTGATGCCAATGATTTTGTACATGGGTATGGTGTACCCCCCCACAGGCCTGGTGGGTTCAGGGGGCCTTGTGCCTTTTCTTTGCAGGAGGCAGGAAACGCAGAGAAGGTGGTTAGGACAGAGTTGTATAAGGAGGAAGGGTTGGGGGGATAGGGTTTCCCCAACATAGAAGTTTTTGTTTATGTCCACTTCTTGAAAATGGTGGTGAGAGAAGCAAGGTGGGGGGCACCAGGGATGAGTTTGAATTTCTGTAGGCTCTGGTGAGTAAGGCTATTACGAAGGTTGGGGCTGTTTGGGAGCGGGGGTGGAGAGGGGTGCAGGCTTGGTGGATCTTTTGTTAATGGGGCAAGGCTTGGATGGGCTGAGGCTCCAAGAGCTGGGGGATGCAAAAAGGGTATTGAAGTTTGTGATGCGGAGGGAGAGGATGACAGATGTGGGAGAGCTGGGATTGGAGCAGTTAAGGAGGGTATGGAAAGGGGTGGTGGGGAAGGACTGGAAAGGGGAGCATGAGGAGTTGGCATGGAGGGCAGTGCAGAGCGTTTTGCTGATGTGACAGCTGCTCTATTATTGGGGGCTGTTGTGGTCCCCCAAGTGCCCAAGAGAGCTTTGTGATGAGCCTGAGTTGGCACCACATGTGCTGTGGGACTGTTTTTATGCTTAACCGGTGTGGGGATGGGTAGCAATGTATTTGAAGGATATGGGAAAGGGGACGGGGATCATGCTCGAAAATATTTTATACGGGTTATCAGAGGAAGTGGCTGGGATGTGGGGGGTGAGGGTGTTGATCATGTATATGAAAGCAGCACTATGGAAGGCACATTCCCTGTTGGTGTTAAAGGAGTTGTGCTTTTCCACGCTGGAGTGCTTGCAGATAGGGATCCATGAGTTGGAGTTTTATAGAGGTAGGGGTGGGGACAAGAGGGAAGAAGGGGATGCGAGGTTGTGGCAAAGGCTGGACTGCAGGGGATTGTTCCAGCCCCAGATAGGAATTGGTTAAGTCAAGGACAGTTATTGGTTAAGTCCTGACTACAGGAAAATACCAGCAATTCTTCTGTTGCAAAGACCTCAGAAAGCCCACAGCATGACAATGATTTTAGCTCTGTCGGGATAGAGAAGATCCTGGCTCAGGCAGGGGGTTGGACTAGATGACCTTTGGAGGTCCCCACTTCCCTGACTCTTATGATTACTACTGGAAATCTATGAGTTTTTATCTTGAGAGTCATGCTAACATTGTGAGGCACATTTGACAGGATTTTGAGGCACCCTGGTTCAGAATTATTGGTCCAAAATGTCCTCAGTTCCCCATGGCTGCCTCAAGTGGAAGACGTGTTTTAAATGCAACTTTACTAAGCCAACTGTAATTTACCCCTGGTGCAAGTTCAGTGAGCTAAGTCAGTGGTAGAGCAGCTCTTTTAGCCTATTATCCTTTCCCCTTTCTCTAAAGTTTGTGACAACACCACCACGGTCCAAGGCATCCAGACTCAAATATCATTGACTTAGTTCCTTTCCCTACTTCTTAACCTCCAAGCTTTCACTCAGCCTTATTTTTTCCTCTGCAGCATATCAAGTGGTGTTGGCCTTTACTGCTAATTCTTAGGTAATCTTCCACATTGTTTATGGTAACTTGTTTCCCAGATTGTTGGTTTTCCTTCCTTCTCCCCAAATGTTGCCAAGATAATTTTTCTCCACTGCTGTTCTCAACATTTTTCTTCTCGCCTCCTTCCTGAATCTTTCCACTCTTCCTTACACAGTTCAGATCAAGCTCCTCATCACTTCCATACCAGTTCCCAAATCTGTCTCACATCTCCTTTACCCTTTTAGTATATTTTACCAACATTCCTCATTTTTATTTTTTGCCTTGTCCCATGTCTTTACTTCATGCCCTCCTTTCTTTTCCCATGCTTTTATATGTGCACAAACATTAAGATGAGGATCTTTCTTTCTTTCACTCTTTCTCTTAAAATATCCTTGAAATGCAAAATCTGTGATCAGTAAAACCTTT